TAGAAGGCATAGAGGTGGGTAGCAGGTCCAGTGTGAAGGCGAGGCATGCAGTTTGCACCTAACTGAAATACAAAAGACAGCTTATGGTCTCCTTTCATCTGCAGAGCTGATGAGGTGATGGGTTTTATTGCTGCTCAACATATGCCAGTGCTATGTTATGCCATTTCTGGGTAACTGTCCAGGTACAAAGTATTACTGTTGCGTTGTGTATATTCAGGATTTTGTAATCTCAGATCCACTGAGCACAGCCTTTCTTGAGCTGCTGTCCTGGCTCTCAAGGCTGCCAAGGGCATGCACCCCATTGGTACAAAAATCTTGAGAAAGACTTTTGCACAAGAGGAGAGACTAAATCATTTGGACAAGGATGGGGCGGACTCTTAAAAGGATAGTGACCCAAAAATGAGAACAGGAGCATACTTCCATCATAGATGGTAGAGAAATATTTCTGAGTGTGAGATTAAAGCCGTCTTGTCATTTTTCGAGAGCTGTTGTCTTAAGGTCACATAAGAGATGTTTAGCAGCAAAAGTAGTAAAGAATTAGTTTAGATTGAGGTCCAAAGGTTTTCCAGTATCTAAGTAAAAATCTGAGGGTCTTTTCTAAATGGCACTGAGAGCTTTTGCTTCTTCGAAGGCCCAATTTCTGTTAAAACTACAGATTCTTAGGTGAGACACTTAAAAAAACAAGTTGGATTTAGTGCTCCTTACACTATTCATTTTTTAAATGGCACCTATTTTTAAAAAGTAGTTTTGCTCTAAAGAGTCTTGCATCAGTGCAGAAAGTGGATTAGATGGAATGCAGGCATGAACACCTTTATCTCCTACACTTACATTTTTCTCAAGAGCCACTTTCTCTCTTTAAGCTGGTGAAAGACAAAACTATTTCCTGTTGTTGCTAAAAGAGCAGCAAAGCCTGAAGTCAGTAGAAATTAAGGGCTCACAAAGAAGCTCTCATATCTTCAGAGCCTGTTATGTGACCCACTTGCTACCACACTCGGGCCCAGTTGTCTAAATGACATTGATAGACACAGGGTGGAGCCCTGTGATTTTAAAAAGAAATTGATTGAAGATTTGAGCTATTCTTCATCTGGCACCTCAGGCACCTGGCAAGTGTTGGTTGCTGATTCAGAGGAGGGCTCATGACACATCAGCTGGCACATGTCAGCACTTGACCAACCCACTGTATATTTGAAATTCAATCAACTCCTGTAGTTTTTAACCCTGCTTGACTTTGGGGGGGGGTTTCAGGAAGAAGATCTTCAGTTTGATTATGAGACTGTCATGCTGAGATGCACTGAGACCTTCGACGATGAAGATTTCTAAACAGTTTCTCTGTTTGCTAATGTTTTGCCAAGCATTTCTGGGTACACCAAGAGACTGCACCTCTTTCAGTGAAACACCTCTCTCAGCAGAGTGTGGAGATGCTGTGTTAAAGTGGTTTGTTATGGTTAATTTCCCATTCCCTCATCCGTGCTTCTTGGTGTATTGGTTGCGTAATTTATACCTTTGTTACAGGTTTTAGATACTTATAAAATGTTAAGAAATACTTTTGTCTATTGCAGCTTAATGCTTAACCTCACTTCACAGGTAAACTGAGCCATGTACAGTTAAGTGACTCGCCTAGCATAAGCTGTGAAAGAGCTGCAGAGAGGTCACATTAGGCTACTCACCTTCATAGGATGCAGGTCTCAAACTGCAACCTGAAAAAGTCACAAAGTACCTGCACCCTTGCAGTGATTACTATTCTGGTGCAATTTTTCAGCTTGGGCTGACAAGGAGAGAGGGATTGCCTCACAGAGAAATGAGGCTTTTGCATCTCTTTTTAAGGACAGCAGCAGTGACTACCCATTTCCAAATCACCTGGCCCCCGCAGGCACAATACTACACTGGTTTATTTACTTTTGCAAAGTGTGTAAAGCCGAGTGGTCAGCCCTGTGCTCCTCTGTCACATTTCATTCTTTGATGAGTAATGCTGCTCAGATAGTGTCTCAGAATTAAAAATGCTGTGAAGATGAATAAAATCCTTTACATCTCAGAACTATGTTCAAGGGTTAACAACCTTTCTTTATTAGCCCTTCATCCCCCACTTTTGAAGGCCAGTTCAGGACAGAAGTTAGAGAATAGAATATTTCATTTTCAAATGGCTTTCAGCCTGCCAGGTACTAGGGGATGCAGTTTTAAATGGATACCATACACTGTGGAGATGCATTCCTGTGATCGTTACACATGCTTCACTAGCAGAATTTTAGGCTAAGGCTGGCCTGAACAGTAATGCGAAACAACAGGTGTATTCAGGTAATGTGAAAATAATAACTCCTCCAAAAGGTAGCAGGCTTTGTGGAGATGTTCCAACATTAAGGAGAAGATGAAGAACTTACTACTTTGGTCCCTCTGTAGTTTACAAGAGTGCAGGCCTGTACGTCCTCTCCTGCAGAGCCAACGCTACACAGACAATAGCTGTTCTGCCCTGGTGTGCAGGAGGGCTGCTCTGCCTTGGCAGGGAAGCAGCCTTAATTCCTTAGCATGTTATTGCTGAGTGCAGCACAGCAGCCCCTCACTTTACAGCACACTGAGCACAACATAGAATGGTTAAAATTGGAAGGGACCTTAAGGATCATCTATTTCTAACCTCTCTGCCACAGGCAGGGACACCTTCCACTAGACCAGATTGATGAAAGTCCCACCCAGCCTGGTCTTGACCACTGCCAGGGATGGGGCATTCACAACACAGGGCAGTCCTACTGCCCAGGTCCCATCTTTTTATGAGAAAGCTGTGAAAACGAGCCTCTGATTAGCTGTTCTAGAGCCAGTGCACCTTGGTATGAGCAAATACCCATCACCAGGTCTCCTCAGCCAGAACAGCGGGAGCATGTGCTGCGGCTCCCCAGTTGGCTGTCTGACTCTGCACAGCTGCAAGCAGGGTGACCCCACTCCTGGCTGGAATCGGGAAGTCTTGCTGCGCTTAGGATTCAACAGTAGCCCAAAGGGTAGTACAGTCAACAGGTAGCTGGCTGTTCTCAAAGCAATCCAGAACAGCACTCAAGTGTTCACTTTCACACTTGAGGATACCCTGGTTTTCATTTATTTTCATTAAGTAGCAAACAAACAGAAGCTGTGTCGTTGCAGTGCAAAGCCAAAGCTGTTTCCAAACCTCAAGTGGCCACATGCAGCTGGGAGGAGTGGTGGCCCTGCAGCCTAACCACTGCCTACTTCATTTTAACATTTGAAAATGTCCTCCTAAGGCAAATAAAAGGATATTTTATATATTTACAACAAACACACCAAAGGGAGGATTTTAAAGGATATTTAGAAGCCTGAGCTTGAAATAGGGACATAAACAGCTTCTGAAAAACTGCCTTCTAAGCCTTAACAACAGCAGATATGGCTGTCCCAGACCAGCATGCATACCCACCCACCCACACAGAGCTGTCTGTACCTCTTGGGCTGTAGGATGTGCTAGGGTAACCCCCTCCATTGGGAATTGGGGTTTCTCATCGCAGGAGCTGTGAAGTTGCACCCAGCTCTACTCTAGGGAGCTTGCAAGCCAAATATAAGATGGAGACACACAGACAATGTTCTCCACCCTTGGCGTGGGGAACTAGAAGCCAAATGAAGACTTACATTTGCAGGAAAACCTGGGGCAATAGTTTGGGTTTTTTTGAACAGAGCTAAAGCAAATACAAACCTCTGGCACTTGCCAGAATCCTAACATGTCTTAATGAGGAAAAGTAAAAAGATATGGCTGCAGCCTCCACAGAGCTGACACAGAGCCAGTAATTACCAAGGGTTCCCCATCTGTGCTTCCCACCTCGCTTTTTCCATGTGGGGATCCCAACTGCAGCACTGAAGGAAAAGGTCTCACTTGGCAGATGGAGCACCTGAAGGCTATAGAGTACAGCAGGTTTTGGCCCTGCTGGTGTGGCTTGTGTACCTTTGTCATTAGCTGTGGATTCTGTTCCAGTCAAAACTACTCCTCCAGTGTGTGGCAGGTCTGGCCAGCAGCAGCCTGGCAGGTTCAGTACAGGACACGGGAACAGGCTGAGGTAGAGTAACAACTTGCTTTCACACGTGCTGCAGCACAAGTAAATTTGTGAGCGATGATGAGTAACACCATGGGTTTCTTTGCTAGATCTCTGGGAGAACAGGCTGGCTCTAAATAAGCCTAGAGATGTAATCTAGGTTGTGGAAGATGCAGATGCCAGAGTTGAGATGCCTGGGACTAGTCATCTCTGTAAAATCTCTGATGATGGGGAGGGATCAGATTATACTTGTGCAAATTATTTTTTCTCCCAAAGGCATAACAACCACAATCTTCAACAGAGGCACTGCAATCTGCCCATAACAGCAAACTATTTGTACCACAATCTTTCCTCCTTTTGGATCCCAGTGCTCATACAGTTGATCTATTCAGACTTCATTCACTCCCAAAGGAAAAAAAAAACAATATATCCCTTACTGGTAAAATAAGCCACATACTGCTACAGCTGCAGGATGGGACTGAAGAACAGGACTGTAATAAGCATAAGGAACTAAAACTTTACAATTAAACTACCCAGGTTTTGTTCAGTCTTGACCCAAGAGGGCAAAGTGGACATCATATCATGGCCTTCAGCTGTCGAGTGGGGGGTACAGAGAAGATGGGGTCAGACTTTCCTCAGAGAAGAACAGTCATAGGACAAGAGACAACAGACTCAAGGTGAAGCATTAGAAATTCCAGGTAGACATGAGGCAAAATGCTTTTCACCACAGGGGTGGTCAGACACTGGAACAGGCTGCCCCTGAGAGGCTGTGGCTCTCCACCTGTAACTCAACTGGACACAGTCCTCTGCAACCTGGTCTAACAGGACCAGCTCTGGGCAGGGGCTGGCCCAGATGACCTCCAAAGGTCCTTATACACTGATTCTTAGAATGCTATCAGCCACTCACTATGGTGATCACCCTGAGAAATACCATTACACTGTACATTTCATTTATTTTCAATAAAAACCCAACTAAGTTATAAATCTCAGTACTGGAAACACAAGCTCATACTACAACAATGTTATTACACACCACCAGCAGCCAGCACTGCATGCAACTGCATTGGACATGGCCATATAGGTTAAGGCTGTTTCTGCTGACAGTGGACAGGAATAAGAATCTGCAAACTGTTTTCCAGAGAAGTGGTTGTAACTGCAGAATCACCAGACCAAACAAGTACAGTGGAGGGGACACAGGACATAGCAGTAACAGGGATGCATCTCACTGTGAGCAGAAGAATTGTCGCCTTCATCTTTGTAGGGTTTGGTGCTCTGGGGAAGCTGGCTTCCCTGAGACTGCTCAGGGATTCATTGCAGTGAAGCTGGGTTTTTGTTAGGTCAAGAACAGAAGGTCTCTAGATTCCCTCTGCAGTCTAAGATAGGAGAGGCACGTTCAGAAGACAGTCAAGCCCATTAACCTTAGACGCCTCTCTTGCAACCACATTCATTTGACTGACTTTAAATTATGGGAATATGGAATGAGAACAATCATGACCTAAAGGTGCCCACTCCTTCCCCCTGGCCAGGATGAGTGTGAAACACAAGCTGAGAGGTGGGCATTGCCCTTACAGATCTTTTAAGGTGGTGGGGATTAGCCTCAGCCCTAGGGATGCCTGAGAGTGGTACAGGGCCCGCATCAGGGATATCTTCTGTGGTTCCTTGGGCAGCCAGGACAGAGGACAGGAACAGCTCTGCTTCAGCTAAACAGCTGCTCCTTGGGGTCCCCAAGGTTTGGTGCAAGGAAGGAAATTGAACATCTTTTCCAAGCATTTCTTGGCCTTTGGTGTTCCCTGAAGAAGGAATATGTTCTTCCTAGAGGTGGGCAGGCAGGAGCAGAGAGGAGAAAAATTACCCCCTCGAGGTGCAGGGGGCAGAGCTGGGAAGAGAAAGGCATTATCATTCTCCTGGTCTAGCCTCTGACAGCTGCCAGCTCATGTTCAAATGTTGTGGGCTGCAGACATCCTTTTCAGACCTCAGCTTCCGAGATAGGAAGGTGCTTATATCCTTGTATCAGCACCTATCTCAGAGTCTCTTTCTGAGCTTGCTCTAACACTGCTTTCCTGTTTGGCAGCTTTCAGTTCATCCATTCTCTTGCCACCGGATAGCCCTTTGGGGCAAGCAGGGAGATACCGAAACCAAGAGACAGCACAGTATTTGGTGCCTATGCCAAATGGAAGATCATACACCTTGGAAATGAGCTGAGAGATGTCTGCCTCTCCCATGTGGCTGTGCTTCCATGCCAGGAGCCCTCGCTCCTCCTGTGTTCCTGCAACAGCAAAACCGAGAATACTGTGTTTAAAACAGCAGGTGTTTGAGCACAGGACTACCTTGAGTGCCTCACACCCACTTCCGAAAGCCCGGCAGACGCAGCACGACATACAGGTCCCTTGCACTTATACCCTTCTAGCTCCAAATCTCTTTACAAAACTCACTAACCAGCTTCTAGACAATACCCATCTTCCTTCAATGGCTTTCAGTCTTAAGCAGTCTTCTCCATTGCTTGCCCTGGGAATCAGGTATACCTAGACAGGTTTTCACAAGCCACCTGAGATCCAAGAACTGTTCAAAGGGGGATTCATACAGTGCTAGGAAAGCAAAGCTGAATGGTAACTGCCCAGATACTGCAGAATAGAGGAATAAGGTTTAGCTGGCAATTAGTAGTCTGTCATAGGTGTTTACCCCAGCCAAGGAATTGCAAGTGCCTGTAGCTGTTGCAACAGCCGAGTCCCTCTTGGGTAAAGGGAGTGAGCACATCTGTAAATCCTGCCTGGAGGAGCTGAAGATCAAGAGCTACAAGAAAAGTAATGAGACAGAAGGAGATTCACTTTCCAAGGAGCCTGAGACAGTAGAAGCAGTTGGTTAACACGGAGTATCCTTCCTGCTCTTTTTCTGTAGCAGAAAAGACGGCTTCCTCTCCTGTTCTTAAGCCATCCCTCCTCAGGCTCAATGAAAATCAAAGGCTCTTTCCTGGCTGTGTGGACTAGCTGCAGGTGCTACATCCTATCTTTGGTCACCAGACTTTCCTACTGCTTTCCACTGCTGTAGCCCCAGTTCAAGCCTCAGTTTTAGCAGCAAACATAAGGAGGCACACGTTTGGGCTTTCCACTTCTTCTGGTTGCCTTTCTCTCTCCTTTCAACCAGCAAAATGGCCCTAGGCTGGTATTTTCCCTAAAAGACATTTTTCCCAAATAAATCTTTCTCTCAGACTAGGTTGTTCCCGAAAAAATGAGTTAGTTTTTTTATAATCTGCTGTTTTCCATCCGGATACCATGTCAGTGATGTCTGCTGTTTCTCACCCCTCTCTGGGAGAGTTCAGTCACATGGTGTTTCATGGCTGGTAGCACAACTCCTGCCCATAGAGCAGTAGTCATGAAGACAAAAATACGCTAGGAAACAAACCTTAGGGCAGGCACAAACTAGTAGCTTAGCTCATTTCAGCAAATCCTACCTGGAATGGTGTTGTCAAGGATAAACCCCAGGAGTCCACCTACAAACATGCCAGTGGTGAGAAGCACCTGGATCACCTGGTCCAGCTGGATGATTCCTAGCAAAAAAACAAAGCTTTGGTGTAGAGACGCATGTTTGACCGGCAACATACCCAGTGCCAAGAGGCTGCAAGCTGCATGCTTGTTTAGACAAGACTTGCAAATCCCAAAGCAGAACTTAAGATTTGGCAATGCAAGAGAGATTGATCTCACTGCCAGTTCCAAACCTACAGTTTTCTTCTGTGTAATTATCCACTGACCCAGCTGCCAGTGGGCAGGAGGTAACTCATGAACATATTAAGAGCCTACTAACAGTGTAGACCACACCACTGGCCCAGAAAAAGCTGCCTTCTGCTCCAAACTCACTCTGCACCTCCACAACATAACACCAAGCAGTTTCCTACAAAAGCACAAGCTTCAGTTCCCATTAAAACACAGGTATATTTAGCATGTGATTTCACCACGAATTAACCAGGTGTAATGTTTCTCTGTGAGGGCTAACAGACATGAGCAGAGCCCAGTGGCACTGTTAGACCACCTACACAGTGAGTGATTTGTGAGCCCAACTCTTTCAACAGCCCACCGAGCATGCCAGATATACCTTAACAGAGGACACTGCAGCCTTTATGATGAACACATTAGTCACACAAGACACGATGAAGGGGTAAGTGTTGGAGCACTGGAAATGTCAATAAAGTGATCTTGATAGAATTTGGGCATTTTGGAAATACAAAGTGAAATTGCGTATGAGCCCATAAGGAAGCCTCATTCATTAAGATGCTGATCAAAATTCAGCCCTGGAGTATTCTCTTGCTCCATCCTGGGAATGTGTCCCAGGGAAGCACTCTGCAGTTCTTAGCACAACAGGAATCTGGTGAGGTGCAGTCACTGATCGAGACCAGAGATTTCTGCACCAGAGCTGTGCATCAGAGCAAAGGACAAGAGCAGCACTCCCAGAAAGAAACAGGCAACAGTCAAAGCATTTTTCAGGGGGTTATCAGGAAAAAGTGCATTTTATAAGATTTCTATGGATCAGCCTTTGCTTCAGTTTTATGCTACAGGAAATGCTTCTGATGTTGCTTCTTACCTGTTTCCAGCAGCATGCTATTTTTGTTTGCCCAGTTGGGAACTGTGAGGCCAGCAAATACAGAAAATCCAAAGATAAAGATGTTTCTTGAGGAGTTCATATCAGTGTACTGCATAGAGAAATTGTATACATTACATTTGGAATTACCCAAGCCTATGGATTACTGTCATGTTCATGAGACATGCTTGGATGTAAACACTGCCTGCAGGAGCGGACACGGGCAGCAGCCCTGTTGCTGCTGGGGTGTTGGTGATCCTGCTCCTGTCAGTGCCAGCAAACCCTGATCTGACCAGGGAACCCTCTGTGATTTAGCCCTTCTGGGAACATCCCCTCATCTTCTCCCAAGGAACTGCCAATGCAAATGTTTGCATCTGACTCAGCGTGGTAATAACCTGACTTGAAACAGAAGTCCCCTTCCCTAGGGAAGCAGTGGCACTTGCACAGCCATTACCTGCAAATTGGAAATCCCCACTGCCGTGATAACTCCAAACATCACAAGGAACATGCCTCCGATCACGGGGGTGGGTATGCTGGCAAGCATTGCCCCGACTTTCCCGGAGATACCGCTGAGGAGCATGGTGCAGGCACCGGCAATGATCACCATTCGACTCCCTACCTGGGGCAAGAGGAAGAGGCAAAGACAGTCACACGCTGACCGGCACAGAGAGGTGAGGGATGGCAGGCTCCAGCTCCAGCCTGCCGGGCAGGGGTTACACCTCTTGATGAAGCACTCAGTGGCACATTTGGTCACAGGTTCAGATGCAGCCACCGGTGACCTGGGATTTTCACACTGCGTGGGAAGCATCTGTATTTGTGCACTATTAAATGTGCATCATGAAAGGCACTCTGAGAGCAGTCATGGATCCACACCTATTTACATGGTTTTATCCTCGTTCCTACTGTTGTCATGACTTTAACGGTTTGCTCTTAAACAAAAAGAGTATTATTACATTAAAAGCACACTAATCCCCACACACAGCTTTGCTCTCACTGAAGCCTAGAAATGTCTTGGCATACCCACAGCGCTGCAACCACTCAGTCAATCCACTGGATAATCCTTCCACCAGTGTTTGGGTTGCTACCTAAAAATGGTTTTCAATGAGGTGTCCCACACCGATCCTCGTAGACCAAGATTTGGGAGACCAGAGCTGGCTGGCTGCTCCAGTGCCAAACTGTGGGATCTGATATATCCATTCCCTGGTCAACAAATGGCTAATCAGAAACGGGGAAGTATCTTGGTCTGTCCCTATCTCTCCTCACCCATTGCTTCAGTAAAACCATTTTTACCCTCATTTTTTCCCCCTAGAAAGAGCCAGGGTGGCCTTTTCTGGGTTGGGCACTACAACAAAGACTGCATGAAGCACCAAGCCATGCCTTTCATTCAGATCTGTTAGAGCATGAAAATAGGGGAAAAAAAAAAAAGTATCATCTGCCAAACAAAGGGATGAAAGAGGCATTTACATACTATGGAAGCTAAAAAGAAAAGCAGCAGTCTATGAGACTTTCAAGTTGAGATATGCCTTGCCACACCAAAACTTGGACAGCTTAAAGAATCACGCTAAGATTTACAACATTTGTGTCTTAGGCAGGGAATTCTGTAATCCTCTGCAAACATTTTATAATTCAATTAAATATTTTAATCCCTCCCTTTAAATACCTGAAGAACGTCATATTTACAGGCAGGGCTTTTTGTGAATGCTTTAAACAAAAAACATTCTTAGTAACTAATTCTGTTTCTTTTTAAGTATTTCTTAAACATGTCCTTTTAAAATGTTTTAAGTATTACTTGATTGTGAAAGATAAATGAAAAAGATTTGGTAGGGAGCTTCAAAATAAAATCATTCACTGCCTTCAGGTGGGCTTTCTATATTCCTTGGCTTAAAACCTTGGTACACCATTACCATCAAAACTGTAATTTAATATAAGCCAACAGATCTATTTGTTCCAAGATTAGAATGAAGCTTCAGATTCTTAATTTGCCAAAATGTCAAATTACCCAGTATATGGAATTGGCCTTGAAGGCAAATTACGTAATCCACTGATACCACAAGTGTGAGCATATGCTGCTAAAGCCTCTAGCTTAGAGTTTGTTTCAATTATGTCAGGAAAACATGAAAATAATTTCTCTTTCTTAAGACTGAAGAAACTGCAGAGTTCCCTGCTATCTACATGGTGACTGTGAGGTCTTTACCTCTCCTTAAAATCCTCTTTTTCTGGGAAATCCTCTTTTACTGGCATGCTGGGCTTGATCAAGCAGCTTAAATATAGGTGCTTGGTGCCATTTAAGTTGCTGCATCTTGGCAGCTTCCAGCAGCTTCTCCTTGCCTTATCTGACAGATCCTGTGGATATCTGAAACCTCCAAAGATTTTTCAGTTGGAGCTGGACACCTCTGTTAAACAGGGGAAACAAGGCCCTTATGTTTCCATTTGTTATGGAAAAATGTGTTTCCTGTGTTTTTTAAATAAAATTTGCATTATGGTCTCAGCACCCCCACCAATTCCAGCCAGAGTCTTTACACTGATTTAGGGTTGACTGAAACGAGACTATTTTCTGCTCTGTTTACCCACTGCACACAGCACTGTGTGAACACAGTGAACAGAAGTGGGATCTAAGGGAAACATCTCTCCTAAATCAGCAAGGATGGCATGTCCACCTGGAGGACTTGAAGTACATGGGAGAACATGTCCTATGATCTGGTAATTATGATTCTGGGCACTTCTGCACTGTGCTACATCCCATATGCACAATGTATGCAGCAAACTATATGTTACAGAATCACAGAATCAGAATGGTTTTGGCTGGAAAGGACCTTAAAGCTCATCTAGTTCCAACCCCCCTGCCATGAGCAGGGACACCTCACCCTCGACCATGTCACCCAAGGCTCTGTCCAACCTGGCCTTGAACACTGCCAGGGATGGAGCATTCACTACTTTGTTAGGCAGCCTGTTCCAGTGCCTCACCACCCTCACAGGGAAGAACTTCTTCCTTATATCTAACCTGAACTTCCACTGTTTAAGTTTAAACCTGTTACACCCCTTGGCCTATCACTACAGTCCCTTATGAAAGAAAGAATGGGCTCAGGTATATTGTCAGTATCCTCAGATTTCACAGGGACAAGATGTATGTGATGACAGGCTAAACTGGACTCCAAGCAGACATCCAGAGGGCCTTTTTGCTGGAAGCAGCCATCTTGGTCAAACACTAACATTTCACGCTGAAAAATGGTTATTGTGAGTGAGGTTTATAAAATCCAGTGAAATCAGCAATGTTACAGAGTGGGAGCCATAAATCAAATTCTGCATTTATTTACTGACTCACAGCTCTGCTGACATGACATTGTTTATTTGACAATGGTTTAAAAATGGTCTCCAGTTGGCTGCTGGATGTACCCATCCCCTGGCTGCAAAGCTTAGTGAAAATCTATGATCTGATTGTCAAGCTTATCTCTTGAAATTTCTTTCCCTTATAAAAGCAGTAAGGTATTCAAGGGATTCACAAAACTTTATGGAAAGGTAAAAACATAACCCTTTGCCATCACATTTTACAATCCCAAAGAAATAGTCTACCTTTCACATGATTGCCATCCTTGTGTTATAAAAACAGGAATTTGAAGTTTTAATAAAGCTTCCCTTTTCCCTTCCCTTCCCCTTTCCTTTTCTCTCATTTTCAGGTTAGCACAAGCTCTCTTAGTCTCAGCTAAGCCATGTGCCATGAATAACAGCAGTGTGCACTCATCCCAGGCACAGACAACAAGCAGAGAAAAAGCAGGACTGGCCACCTCTGTTAGGTGCTTCACAGTGCTGCTGAGCTGGTCACCAATGTGCCAAGGCACATCCTCCAGCATGCCTTGCAGAAGGTGGGGTAAGATCACACCCCAGGTCCAGCACATACCCATGTGCACCACCCCTTTGTACAGACACTCCTGGGGTAAACCTCCAGGAGCCACCCCGCTGTCGTGAGGCTCACCTTGGTGATGCCCAGGGCCCCCACGTTCTCGCTGTATGAGGTGGTGCCGTTCCCCGTCCCCCAGGCACCAGCCAGGAGGCAGCCGATGCCTTCTACCCCGATGCCACGGCTGATGGCGTGCTTTGGTGGCGGCGGGGCCCCGGCCAGGCGAGCACAGGCATAGTAATCTCCCACAGACTCCAGCATGGAGGAAATCACCCCAGCTAAGATGCCAAATATTCCAGCCAGGCTGACTGTTGGCATTCCCCACTGGCCTGCAAGTAAAGAGCTCGGTTCAGGTTGGTTTGTCCTGAAATCTATTGCAGGGGATTAGGGGAGAACAGCAGGGATGCTTGTGGGTGTTTGCCTGCTTTTTGGCATTTACTCTCCCCCTGCTAGCCATAAGCGGAGGTGAAAGCCGGAGCAGGGAGCAGCGTGGCAGGATGAGGAAAGGCGGAACAGTGGTACCTGGGTAAGGCAGCCGAAACCAGGGAGCCTGGGATAAAACATCCCCACGAATGTCCGTCCGGGCCAGGTGGCCATAGGCAGTGGGGTCTGCAGGGAGGACGTCGGTCACCGTCAGCACGTAGCAAAGCAGCCAGCTCAGGGACAGCCCCATCAGCACCTGCCCATCACACGCAGCAGTGGGGTCTGGTTAGGGTATGGCCGCATCTCTAGCATGCTCGAGGTGGAAAAGGTGCCTCCCCACCCAATCCTTTCCCCTGCACATGGAATGGAAGCAGAGGGATGACAGTGGGTCCTAGTGATCCTCCCTTCTTCCCTCCCTCCCGATGGTGAGGGCCATGGGGACCTTCTTCCCCTCTGCCCCCTCACTGCATAGGGTGGGCTGGGAAGCACCAGTTTGGCTGGATGTGAGTGGAAAGAGCCAAGGCAGCTTGGAGCAGGTGAGGCCTGCTGCCACATCCCTGGGAACCCCTACGTACCGGGAAGATCTGGAAGAGGTAGACTGGGGAGAGGTGGCACTTCATGCCTCCCTGGTAAGATGGCAGTGGCACAGGGACGTCTTTCAGGTACTGAGAGAACAGAACTATGAAAGAAATAGTCCTAGAAGGAGGGTAAACCAGATCATTAACGAAGTGGGTGCCCACCTGTCCCCACAATAACTGAAGACCTGTTACCCGAGGAAACAGGCTTCCAGAGGACCAAAGAAAACCAGGCTCTCAGCACTAGAGAGTGGCTCCCCACTTCAGCAAGCCTGAGGTGGAACAAGCGCCTCTGCATTTGCAAGTATTTCCCCCCCACACTTTGCTTCAAGACTGACACCACCACCCCCCCCCCCCGCTTAGTGCATCAATGAGTATGAGACAGTTGCAGGAAATTTAAGGATGCAGCTTCAGTAAAAGAAGGCCCTGAGAGACGTGCAAGGTCCAGGCAGGTTTTGTAGGAAACTTTCCCTGACCTTCTGTGCAATCCAGATGTGGTGGAAATGCAGGATGTATTGGTTTCCTGATTTCAGGTTTACCTATACTGCTATCCAGTCAAGAAGACTTGAGCTGCATGGAGTAAAAGAAAGAGGATCCGATTTTGCTGTGCAAGTTCCTGTTTTCAAAGAAAAAAAACATGGTAGGGCTGTGGGGCTGCACATGGCACCCACAGAACCCTCCCAGCCAGGCAAGAAGGGGAGAGCATGGCCCTCTGGTCTGCCCAAGTCAGGGGTTCTCATGTGTGCCCATAGCAGTACCTGGGGCTCATTCTGGTGGAATCAACAATGAGGCGCAGCTCCTCTCCCATCTCTTGTGTAGGACACATCTCCTGCGAGCAGCAGCACAGCTGGGTCTCTCATAGCAAGCCCTGTCTGCCCCCAAGTGTCTGCCCCTCAGAAAGGGCAACTAGATGAAGCTGGAGGCTGCCACATGCAGTGAGGGGGCAGGGACTTGGGCACCTCACTTTGACTGCTGAATTGGTAAAAGACCTTGGACATTTTCCTCCTATGTTAACCAGGCCTCTGAAGGGCTGTTCCTTTTTTTATAACAACTCTAAATTGTATACATTGAATGAGTTAATCCAGGTAGGATTTGGTGAGAAGTCAACTGCATCAGCTGAAGTGCACTGACAGTGCAGGAAAAACTGGTACCTTTCCATGTGTGAAAAAGTGATGAGCTGTAGGTCCAATATTTATGTGCAGGCAGAATACCAGCAGTGCAAAGGAAACACTAACCTCACCTCTCTGCAGAGACACACTACAACATACAGCCAAAGGTTATCTATCAATCACAACTGAATGACTGGAGGCAGGAAGTCTGAGGAGGAACTGGTTTCCATTCATGGTTTCTAAAGCTACAGAGCCCAGACAGACTGCATCAGTGCACATTTTGTACATTTGCAGTGACAAAGGTGCTCACAGCCTTATGAATCACTGCAGAGCAGAGCTCTCGTCTATGTTGGGTAGGTGTCACTGCTTATCATTCAAGTTGCCTGGCACATTCCATTAACAAACACTATTTTCAGCTGCTTTGAATTCTACCTAACTTTACCCATTCAGGATGAAAATTTCCATGGAAAACATCAGCCTTAGGCTAAATGTTTCTGGAAAAAATATATCCCAAACCTTTTTTGAAAGAGTGATCCTCAGGAAACTGACATAGTACATAGCCTGCATTGAGAAGGTCATTTTGCCTTTAGCAGTAGCAGGGTCTGCTTATGAGCTGGAGCAGAAAATTGAGGTTTAGTAGAACTTGCTCTTTGGGCTCTATTTGAACAAAAACATGTTCAGGTATGCTCAGTCTGTAACAATGATCACTCATCCCAGGTCCCAGGCAGTCAGCAGAGACATCTCGGGCATTAGCATTTGCAGCCCCTAAAGATTCTGAGCCTTCTGAATATGTCCAGGCCCTGCCCAGCAACGAACTGTTTATGCACCATCACAGAGAGCAAGTGAGCACACTCTACATCAGTTTCTTGAGGCAACAGTGGGTATCACCCATCACGGGGGCTTTGGGATGGGGTGGGGCTGAACAGCAGTGCTGGGACCACATGGCTCATGTCTTCTACTTTCTCCATTATCGCCCTTCCTCTTTCCCTAATGACACCCATGGAGCATGGAGAAGGCAGCAAAACAGGGCACAGAGATGGCTCAGAGCATAATGATCAAGTTGGAGCTAAGGCACTTGAGTCAGGAAAGTCAGGACTAGGACTGGCACAGGTAGAAGATGGGACAGAAATGAACCAGAGAGAAAGGGTGACCTAGGTTGAGAGCAGGGACACAGGCTGGAGGGGCAGGGTTGGGTTGGAGGCAGGGTTTGGGCTTGTACAGGGTGCTGGTGGAAGACAGCAGTTAAGTGAGGAACTGGGGGTGGAGAAGGGTGGTGGTTTTGGGGTCTGGGAGGGCACGTTTAGGGAGAAAAGAAGGAGAGGGAAGTGGACTGGAGCAGGTCCCCAGACCAGCAAGCTGCCTTGTGGGGCTGCAGTCAAGCCTGGACTTTGAGTCTCCAAAGGCAGGTCTGAAAGTGCTAACAAACTGATGGGAGGCCATAGGGAGGGTAACAACCTACTCCTGCTGCATGTTATCCCAAGCTGAAGTCTGCATTAGGGATCTGAAGGTACCAAGTCTGCATTAGGGATCTGAAGGTACCAAATCTGCATTAGGGATCTGAAGGTACCAAATCTGCAGGGGAACCATGCAGTGGGATTTCTAGTTCTTAAATTAATTCCTGAAATACCATGGGAATTCTGCCACCAAGCACACTTGTACACTGATGCCCAAGGGCACGCACACAAATACCCTTGAGAGAGCACTCGCTGCCACAAAGTCACATGGGTAGACATTTCCAGAGCACCCTGTGGAGAAAACAATTCCTCCTCGACATGCGAAACCAATGCAAAAAGCTATTTTAACTCGAGGAATACCTAACTCTGGGTGCTCAGCTTTGTCATTTTAGGAATGCATTTTTAACTTAAATAATGGGGTGTGAAACAGTGTGCGCAAACAACCGTGACAGAGACTGCCCCCTGGAAAGCCTTGTTTCTCTACTGACCTATGAAGAAACTTTGGATTCTCACAAAAAAACAGATTTTTTAACTCATTTTTGGGGTTTGCTTTGTTGCCGAGGGCTCTAACTTCCTGCTAGTTTCCACTGCTTTCCCACCGTGCCGCCTTGCACAAGGCCACTGTATGTTAGTGCTCAGTGAATAATCCTTGAACCCAGAGGAACCCTGCTACAGACTGTGACATTTGGTTTCGTATTAGAGGTAAGTGGTTTGTGTGTGCTCAGCTTTTGCATGGGGAAGTCAGACTTACATGAACGCTATGCCCCAGTGCTGCCCAGCCTCGTCACCAGCCGAGTCAAAGAGAGGAAGTGCAACCAAGGTGATGGTGGGCGCGATTGTCAGGGGGCCGATGAACTTCATCAGGAATCCAATCAGGCCAGAAAATCCAACGAAGATTTGGAAGCAAGAAGCTACAATGATAGCTCCTTGCAACTGGAATAAAAGGGAGGGGGGGAGAGAGCAGAGGTTGAAAGGAGCTCCAGCTGCCTCACACAAATCCAGTGTGAGAGCCAGGCTCAGAGGCCTCCCACTGACTACAGCAAAGCCTGGCTGAGCATCATGTGTGGGAAAGGACCCCCAAAGTACCAGCACACCAACTCCTTCTCAGCTGATGGATTTAGTCCTCTCCAGGACTCATTTTGTTCCAGGGACCCCCTTCTCTCTGTCCTCCTGGGCCAAGCAAGCAAGCATCAGCTTCCCTACACTGTTTCTCCCTGTTCCCCCAAAACACAAGGGAAAAGCTCTTGCCCTGAAAACAGGAGCAGGGCCATGATCTCCACTCATCTACCATCTGGGAAGGGCTTCTGGCACTTCAGCACACTGGTATGACAGGTGGATCTTTACAGCCTCTGTTTTGTTCTGAGTATCAGTTTCCCTCGGGGGACACATTCATCACCCTGAACTTTCCCATGTTTGACAGTCACTGCTAAGTAGCTAGCAATTACATCCAGAAATGCTGCTTGTACATATCAGCTCCATGCAGGGGACACAGGGGTGAGGCTGCTCCCTGCCTTCACAGATTCGGTGATAAAACCAGGCTGGGTTCTTTGTGGTGCTGAGCACTTTCCTCCCCTGCCTTCAAGCTGAAGAGGAACACAGGGGCTGGGGTAAAGGCCCTTTGGAGCTATGAATGCTTCCCAAGAGCTTTGCAAAGCACCCAGTGAATGGATCAACAGAAGCAAATTTAGCCACTTGGGCTCATAAGGCAACAGACGTAGAACGAGGCAGTGAGATCCCTGACCTTTCCTTATCTCTTTTGACTACCTAAGGATACACTTCTCCTTAATATTTACAGTAAGTTCTGCATTTCCTTTCTGCCCCTTACAGTAAGTTCTGTATTTCTTTTTACTATTTTCTGTGCTTAGACAGGGTCCCTTCCTTGGAAGCATCTTGCCTTCTTTCCTTCCTCAAGGCTAACCATGCTTCATGGGGAATGGATCTGGCTGGATCACTTAAGACTTTGCAGGCATCATAAATCAATTATCTGAGGCCTGTACGTCCCTCTGTTTAGCAGCAGTGAAGCACCTGCTTTTTTTGCTAGGGAATAGATGCTTAGGAAGCTGCAACTGGGTGAAGGGCCAATGTGTACTGGGGATAGAGGGATCTCCAGAATTGATGGCCCTGACATGGTCAGGCACTTTTCTGAAAGCAAACAGCCCTGATACAGAGTAGGCGACACTGAAAATGTAATGTACTTCTCGCATCCGCGTCTGCCAGACTTCAATGAACTCTGGTGAAGAGGCATTCACCAGGGTGGCATTCTGTGTCCAAGAAGGGCATTTCCACTTGGGGAGAGACAGCATGGCCAGGGTGGGGGTCAGGAATGCAAAAGTTCCTCCTTGAATAATAGGCAACCTGGAAGGAGAGCAGAGGCAAAAGATGCTGAGTCAGAATGCAAGAAACCCAGCTCCATAGGGGAGAGAGAAAGCAGAATAACCTAAAAAAGCAGTCTGCCCATGGCCTCTGGCAGTATATTTTGAAATACTCTGGCAGTTCTCCATCACTGACCATGGGTGGGAATTGCTGCCCATCGCACTCAAGAGCAGTGACCCGGGGAGAAGAGCTCAGGGTTAGCGTTGGAGGCGCACGTCAGTGCTGCAGTCAAACTCTCCTGCCCTGCATTAAGGAAAAAGTAGCCCTGTTAAGGTAAGATGAGACCATGGAGCTGCACAGAGTAGAACAACAACAAAAGTAAAAAGCTGGAGGAGGGGAAAACCCCAAGGAAGGAAGATAGTAAGCTCAGCATTGATCTAAGCCCAAATCTTGCTAATATCTAGCTTCTTCCTCTGTCCCCTTCAGCTGCCTCAGGTTTCTTCACAACCTGCTCATGAACACAAGGATATGCACTGGCTACAACCACCTGAAGGCAGTAGAAAATGTGACCTGGCTTTTAGTACACTGGGTTTGAAAGCTAATTCCTCTGCCTCGTTTCCACTGACACTGCCAAGGAAACCTGCATGGATGGGTCTGAGCATGCTGGCTGGGTGAGACCTTGGCTTTCCCCACACCACGCATGCCTCCTGGCTTAGAGTAACCCTCACTCTGCAAATCCCTCAGGCTAGCAAGGAACTTGCATGTCCAGAGGCACTCAGCACTGGCTTTTACTGCAGAGCCAATGCTCCTGTGAGCTACGCCAGCCTCTTTCCATGCATGGAGAAATGGAGAAAGAGACCTAAAAGGTCTGACTGGTTCTTCAAACTCCCACAGGCATTAAGTCCTCATTGCAGTGCAAGTTGTTCTGGCTGCCCTCTAGCACGCTTGGGAAAGCCAAAGCTGCCTGAGGGTGCAGGCCGGCACAGCAGCTCTGAACCAGTCAAAGGTGCTTCTGCTCCCTCTGTTTAGGAAGGAAGCAGTCCCCAGAGCAACCCCTCCTTGCACCAGAAGTCTCATGGCTCTTGCTCAGAAAAGCAGCAGGGCAGAAAGCCAGGTGAGTGCAGGGCATGGATTCCCCTGAAACAGAAGCATTTTGACCATTCTCTGAAAAGCACTGGAAAATAAGAGATGGCATAGCTGTAACAGCATCATGTCTCCATCACCTAAAGCAAATATTTATACCACTGCAATTACTCATGCCATGCACAATCGAAGCGCTGCCAAAGCATTGCCAGTAAGTGGTATTTGAATATCAGTCATCTGTGGAGTTACTTATTTATGGCATTTGGCCAAATATGCTGCAGCCTGCAAAAGATTTTGCTTGGCAAGGCAAAAAGTCAAACAAAAGGAAACAGAGAAGGCCCAGTGCCACCACTGTTGAATTAACAATAGATTTATAGCCCCTGATGCGTTGGCCCTCAAGCTATTTCACAGACAGTGCTGGCAATGGTTGTGCTCAGAGGAAACTGGGGTGCCAAAGCAAGGCAAACAGGGCACACTAAGCTTTTTCCCATGAGGTTTGCAAGAGGAAAAGATGCAGGTTTAGGGAAGGAAATGTGATGTTCTGATAACCACTACATGATGTCCAAGAATCTGCTAAGGGGGGCTCGCCATAATTGCAAGTGACATCTGTCTCCCCTCAGGAACCTCTTGAATAGTATCTCCAGTTACTGTCTGTGACCCATCACTGCTTTTTCACGCTGTGTAACATGACTGAGCTGCAAGTTGCAGCAAGTCAGGCTTTTTCCTTGGCTATTGCTTCTGGAGGGCTGCTTCTGAACCATGCTTGGTCTTGGTGGGAACCTCCTCATCTTCATGGCCTGTTCCCATCCATTCATTCATGTGCCAACAATGTCTTTTAGCCAGAATGGTTTGTCCTGCCTGATGACCCCCATTTCTCTTCCAGACTAGTAGCAGACAGCAGCTGTACCCTTCTGAGCCACCACTTTGCCATGCTAACCAGGCCAGCCTCTGTAACACAAACAAACAGTCCCCCATGCCACAATAACAGACCATCTCCTTACCTCCTATCCTCTGAATTAGTCTTTTTTTAAATGCGGGCACTGACAACTGGGCAAAGCACTCAGCTGCAGGCTCCCCAGGGCCTCAGAGAGTGGCATGGGTATTTTCCAGTAAAAAGCATCTCCTCCAGCTCATTATTCACCATTTTTCTGGCTGACTTGTTGGTGACTTATGGTTGTCAACAACTACTGCGGGGTTTCAGAAAACAGAAAAGGAGAAAAAAAAAAAGGAGAGAAAAAAAAATAAAATCTGCCCACTAGCTCCTCAGGCTTGGTTTGCCTCCAGCCAAACTACAGGCTGAATCCCACCTTCCCGTCAGGAATACCCTCATGCCTTACAGTTGGGGCCAGCAACACGGCAATTGCATCCTCGGCATAGCAAAGGCTATTCAAGCTTATCCTATGGGAACAGCTCCTTACTACTTAATTGGATCTGCTGCTCCTCATTTAGCCACTCAGCTACAGGAGAGGATCCCTGTTACTCCTTCATCCTCAGCTAACAGCAAGCAGAGGACATCACAGCTCTCAGGTATTCACTGAGGCATTTGGGGGTGCCTGGGAGGACACCAGCCTGAATTGCACCAGGAGCCACAGCCATGGTCATGTACCCCAGCCTGACTTTAACACAACTATGAAGAACCAGATTCTCTCTTTTTCATGGCCAGGATGTCCATCCTCCTTCACTAATCCTTTAGCAACGTAAAAGAAGGAGAGCACCCTCTGAGGAGATGTTTGCCCACAGCCACTTCTTAAGACAGACAGAGATGGGGGAAGAAACAGGAGAAATAAAAACATGTTGTGGAGCTGGCAGTTGACCAGTGATTTGATGGTAGAAGAGTTTTAACCAGTTTTCTCCCAGTTATCCTTTGCCCTACAGTTTCCTGTGGGATCTGTGATCTTGATCCCAGGTCCAGATCAGAAGGGTCCTGCCTCAGCTGGAGGATCCCTGGGGTAAGGAGCAAGCAGATACTGTTTACTGCATGTGTCAATACTTTAGTTTTTACACGAGAGAATTGTATAAACCCAACAAAAGGTGCACAAAGTCCCAGGAGATGTAAAAGCCAGGACAGCAAATAGCTATTAACGTACAGCAATTTCAGGATGCTTTCGTATGTGTCCTGATTGCCCAAGAGTAGAAAATGACCCTCACTCTATACCAAGCTGGTGCTGTGCATGCAGTAATTATACAGGCATTCTACTAAAACTGCATCTACAAGCCCTTCTGCCATGTATCCCATTTCTTGCATTTGTCCTACCTGACTCCAAAGAGGACCTGCAGCAGGGTGCAAATCCCTGAGACAAAGAAGATGGTGCTGATCAGGTGGCTCTGGGTGAGAAGGTCATGCTGGAGGCAAAGCTCTTTGGAGAGGATCAGTGGGATGGCTATGAGACCTCCCAGGGCTGTCAGGAAATGCTAGGAGCCATAGAGAAAGACCGGGTGAAAAAGGACACAGAACTGGCTGTACGTTAATACTGTGTTGTTGAGGGAAATCTAATAGTGCAAGGATTTGTGTTTGGGAGATACTAGTACTACCCATTCTCTTTTTTTGGCAACTGGAAAGCTCTGTTAGGCGCTGTTCCAAAACACCTACAAGAACTGCAATGCACCCCCACAAACTTCTCCCTCTTTCCATGCCCAAAGAGCTTTTGCAGTGCTCTGGACTCCACAGACTACTGTCAGGCACAACCAGTTTACCCACAGCACCTGCAGACAAAGCTGTCTGCGGCTCTCTTACAGGAAGGTAGGGACATCCCAAGGTAGAGGGAGATCAGGCAAAGTGAATGCAATGTTTCAGCCCATCTCATTTGCACCACAAAGGATGACATAAGAAGTTGGCAAATTGGTCCTACCAATTCTTTGCTTTTCTCACCCAGTGCAGTTACGGATAACCATGAAAAATGAATGCCAAACAATGGAAAAATCAGGCATTGCGTTTTGCAGAAATCACAGACATATTTCTACAACAATCTTCAGTTAATTACTGGAAATTATGTTTCAAATTTTTGCTTTAAATATTAACCTTAGTTATCAGTTCTTACAGGAGCACAGGTCTGCAGTGGAAGTGGTGGCGCTCAGAAACTCACTGTGTTCATTAGAGGCATGCTTTATTAAAATTACGATGCAGATGTGTTCAGAAAACTTGGTTTAATACACTCTAAATCTGAGGTGATCATTTAGGAAATCAAAGTACAAAATGTCCACCAAGATCCAAGTGATAACCTTAATCATTCTGAGGTCTCTCTTCCCTGAGGCTCTGTACCCAGCATTGCATTGGTGCATTGGGTCATTCAACTTACCTGGGCACCAACACCAGCCAAAGCAGTGTGGCCCTTCTGTGCAGTTTATATTGCCATGGGAAGTTTATATTACAGCACGTACACATCCTCAGCTGAGGTATCTGACCTGTTCTTATTCACTATTTGGCCCTAACTGTGGGACCCTGCCTTCCCACTTGCACTTCAAGAGGTGCAGTGTAGCTGAGGGCACAAGGTTAACAGTCTGTGCTGAGGAGGTGGTAGAAGGGACTTGAGCTCACAAGATCCAGCCTCAAAGCTCCAGCCATGCCCAGTGATGGTAAAGCACTTCCAAATTCAGGTTTCACCCTCATTAACCAGCTGAAGAGCCATTAAACTCTCACCCAGTCCCAGCCTCCCCCTGCTCCCCCATCACACCTGAATGCCCAGCAGGATGCACAGGTACCAGGGGGGCATGTCCATGACAGTGTAGGCAAGCTTGATACCACCGTGGCCCATGTCCCTGCCTTCCTCTGGGCCCTGGGCATCACGATCCAGTGAGGAGCAGTAGTGTTTCCCATCTTCACCCTGGACAATAGGAGAGACCCTTCATTAGCCACGGTCTGTCCTTGCAGGCACCCAGCAGCCACCTCTCTTGTGACCATGCTCCATGTCTTGCAGGAATATCTCATATGTAGCTTTCAACAATGCCAGGATAAAAAGGAAGAGCAAAGGGGAAAATTAAAAGAGAGGTACAAACACCTTGGAAAATTTTTATATGCACATGTCTGTCCAGACCAGAAGAAATATTAGAGGGTGTCTCAGCCTCGGAGGGACAACTGGAGAAAGGGCGCTGGAATCATTAACATCTAGCTAAGGGTGGAGAAACTGCAATCAGAAGCAAGGAAGAGTGTGGAATGGGTTAATCAGTGAAAGCTGCACTCTCCCATAGGTCCTGTCCATCCTGGCTGTCCCACCCAAACAGTGCTTTTGATAAAATATGGTAAAGCAACTTGGTCTCCGCTAATACAGAGTAGAAGCATTTTTACATTTAATTTCTTCTTAAGTCTTCTCTTTCCAACCTCCTTACACTCACCCTTACGAATGTTCTGCCTTGATGAACGCAACTGCCCTTTGTCTTACTAGGAAACCTCAACCCTCCAGAGGAACCCGGTAAAAAACACAGGGACACCAGTGGATGAGGAGTCCCGGTGCCCAGTTCAAAGGAGCTGGCTCAAAGCAGGGCTACTGGGGTGCTGCCCCAGCTCAACCACATGCTGCGGGGAATGGCACCCAGCAGGATGCCCCAGGGCAGGAGCAGCATTGGGGACCAGGAAGCAGCATGGGGACCTGGAGCCTCAGGGAAGTGGCAGGGTCTGAAACAGCTCCCCAGGAAGACTTGAATCTCCTCCCAGAAGCCCCAGGGCTCCCCAGAGAGCTGCACGCCCTGTACAGTTTATTTATACAAAGACATGTTTTGCCAAGGAAAACAAAATACTGCTTTGCTTCACTTGCCACAGCTTTTAAGCTATGTAAATGCCCCCGGTTGTCCACTCCTCCTCCCAACCCACCCTGACCCCTGTGCATATACACGCACACACACACGTTGCCTGTGCACATGGACACCCCATGTGCACACACACAGACATGCACATCCCTGCACACATGCACGTAATGGAAGGAGGCTGCCTGGGAAGCCACAATGTTTTGAGCCAAACGCAAAAGCTAATTCAGATCCCAAGCCATTTGTTTCACTGACCCTTCTCCAGCCAGAGAGTCCTTGGTGCCCTGGCAGCAGAGGGTTTTTCTGGGCTAGGATGCCCTGCTCAGTCAGGGACAGAAACCTGTCGTCAAGAGAAGCTCAACCAGTTTGTCAGCACCAGACTTCTGTTTTTTTTTTATCATCCAAGTCCTGCTGGAAGCTGAAGACACTGAAATGCTCAGCAAAGCAAGCTAGCTGCAGTAGTGCTCATGGCCTGCCTACCAGTAGGGGCAAACAGCTAACGACGAGGTCAGGGAATAGGGATGTAAAATTAATGTTACATTCAGTCATAAATATTGCAGGTGGGGCAGATTAATCCTGAAGGACTTCATCGTTTGCCTGAATCCTCCAGGTTTCCATTCTCATAGCTGAGTCTCCAAAGTCCCATTTTAGACCAGGCTGTTGAAATAACGCTATGTAATACCTTTTATTTATTTATATTACCTTTGTATATATCCAGCCTAGGTAGGCTGGGAGCATTATAGGTACTTCAAAATAGATAGGTGACAGCAGAGTTAATTCAAACTGAACTCAGGCATGAACTTCGAGAGCAAGAGGCATCCCTGAATAACTCCCTGTGGAGGCATTTTCACTTCAAAACAGGAGAGCCTGATTAACAAATGTACAGCAAGGTACTTCAGGCTGCCCATGCACGGAGTCATCTGAGGACAGCTACTCCTGAATAACACCACGGGTAGACGAATCCTAAGCTAGGCAGACAGCAGTAAGCTCCTTTCCTTGCACTGCAACTTTTCCCATGTTATCCAGGAGGCATATTCGAGCCAGGCAGAGCCTGTGCCAGTAGTAGCCCCACATGATTACCACATGAAGGCCTGAATCACCCCAGGAGCTGGAAGGGAGAGAGTGAGCAGGGTTCAGTGGGAGAAGGATGGAGTGGAGATGACAGGATGACAGGACTGGAGGCAACGGGCTCAAAATGAAACACAGGAGGTCCCATCTTAACATGAGGAAATATTTTTTCACTGTGAGGGTGACCAAGTACTGCATAGGCTGCCCAGAGAGGTTGTGGATTCTTTATCCTTACAGATATTTAACTGTCTAGACACAGTCCTGGGCAACTGGCTCTAGATAACCCTGCTTGAGCAAAGGGGTTGAAAGAGCTGACCTCCAGAGATCCCTTCCAACTTCAGCCAGTCTGTGATGCTGAGATGCTGGAGAAGGACAAGGCAGGAGCAGTCTGGAGCAGAGAAAAGGAAGTGCTGCTGGTGGTTTTCAGCCCAGATGCTCCCAGCAACCCAGGAGACCAGGACACCTCCACGTATCTCAGGCTCAAGTCATAGCATAAGGACCCTCAACAGCATCTTAAATAAGCACATCGGGAAGGTAGTCAGATACTGAACTGCTTGAACCACAGGTAAAAGACCTCTGTCTTCTACCTTCTCTGGGGTGACTCAAACCAGAGGAAGTCACAATCCTGATCTGTGTTATGTCAGAACAGGTAGAAACAGAAACCCTGTTACCAATACCAAAAGACCTCTTACTGTCCCTGAGCACCTCCTGGAGGCTCTGCCCAGAGCTGGCAGAGCACTCCCACCTCCACTGCTACAGCAAGCTCACCAAGAGCTAGCCAAGAAATGGGGCACTTTGCACACCGGGAAGTTAAATGCCTCCTCCAAGGTCCTCCAAGATGGGTGCTCTGTACCAAGGTAGGAAGATGGTTGCAGGACCTCACTCCTTCACACCTGCTGTCAGAACATAGGCAGCTCTTTTAGATTCTAATGGAGATGACCCCTGCTGTGGGACAGGAAGGGGGCTGCTGTGCCTCAGGCCCTTGCCCTATGGCTGTAATAGCCTGCAGCATTTCCAGGGCACTGCTTGCCCCTGAACTGACACATTTACAGCTTTTACTACCCTGCTATAACTCTACAGCATGCTTTCTCCCAGTGACTCACAAATCCCTTTTTCACCCATCTCTCTGACAATTCATCCCATTAGAAACAGGCAGAAGACACACAGAAAATAAACATTCTTCACTAGGCTAAATTTCTATTGCAATTTTACTAATTATTAGGCAAAGTGCTCTACCCAGGGACACAGCCACAAGGTGCCACAAGCCCGCTTGCTTTTCAGTACAGATACAAGTGTGCTGCCATTCATCTATGATACCATTTTAGAAATAATGGAGAAAAAAAAAGCTTAAAAAGCACTATAGAGCAGGCAGTATGCTGAGTCCACAGCAGCAGGCTGTAGTGTAGAAATCATTCCTTAGATTCCTGTTGATAAAGGAGCAGAGACAGACGTTTACAACACACCAGCATCTTTGCAGCCAGTCAGAAAAGCCCCTGGCTTTCCCTTTCTCCTCCTTTTTCAGGTCTCATACCTGTTAATGCAAGAATTACCCGTCAGAGATAAGCAGACTCACCATGAAGCTGGGGTTATCTAGCCCGTTGAGCTCTTTGTCTGAGGAGGGGGTCATGCCTTCCACTTGCCTTCACCAACTGCCTTGAAAAAGAAAGGCTAGTAAGAAGAGGAAAGCCTCCTAAATTGCCACTTCTCCCAGTCAACTCAGCCCTAAAGAATCAGGGTGAGAAGATGCAGAAACTGGACTTTGGGAGACAACCAGCGCTCAGTCCTAGCTCTTCATGTGATCTGTATCACAGAAGCATTTCCTTTCCTTTGGCTTATATAAGTGACTCCTTTTCTCCAGCTGATTAGAGGACCGGCATTCAAACCAAACTGGAAAGCAGCCCTTCCCTGGACTGAGTGAATCAGTAACTGATGGCAGAAAAAAACTTCCTCCGTAGGTAAGGATGCGAAGGGAGAGACATTTCCCTGTTTTCCTGGCATAGCCTTGAAACTTGTTGCTTCATTGTTGATTCAACAGCACCTTGTATTTTCCGTTTGGGTTGGGCCTGTTTCAAGAGCTTTGTGCTGATCTTTAGAAAATTCAGTTTCTAGATGGTTGCACTTATTCTGCATGTAAACTACTGTGTATTTTGTCTTAGGTGCAAATACCCTCATCTTGTATGATAATCCTATTACAATATGAAAAGAATCAGGATTTTACTGGGAACCTATTTAACACAGCAACCAATAATCACATCATCAGACCATGACATCATGGAGGTAAAAAAGTAGTAAGATAGAAAAAGGGCTACTTCAGGGCATATGATTATCTCCATTCAGCTAAGGTTCCTAGCTGAATGGTGATCATGGATGGCTCAAAGCACAGTTACCCTACTCTCAATAAGTAGCAAACAGTGTTAATATTCCATCAAGCTTTTCTGGCCACCCCAGCCCAGCCCTCTTCAGATTAAATATCTGTTTAATTTATTGGCTTCCTGAGGCAGTAAACTTCCCAGACCAGCTGCAGAGAGCTCCTGTGGAGAGAGGCATGCTATCGCCTACACGCAGCGACCGCCCTTTGGGAACATCTCCTGATTTCCACGCAGGAAGTGGTGTAACTGAAATAAACTCTGGTCCCTGTTTTTCCTGTAGAGCTTTGGTATTCTCAGATGTCAGACCAGGACTACATTATAGGATGAGACAACCTCGCCCTAAACACCATCAGCGAAGTGAAGAGCTGCTGGGCAGCTAACTTTTAAGGCATCAGAATGAATAGATGTTAACAGTTTTGCCGGATCTCCTCTCTGAAGTCCCATTATATAGGAACCTCCCTGTATTTTTAACTGCAGGAAGTGCATTTCCAGCTGCACTGATCTTGGCACAAGGGCGCTGCTTTTTTTTTTTCCCTCTAGTTCTAAGTAAGAATTCTAAGTAAGAATTCTTTTCCTGGTCAAACTACAACTTTCACCTTCAACTCTACCAATTCCCAGCACAGAGGGAGCAGCACAACCACCCCACCCTGTTGTACAGGCTTGCTAATCTTTTGTTATCCAATGCACTGTATGGTTGGGTTTCATTGTATATTTACTGTTTGGTTGTATATACTGGCAGCGTCCATTAAGCAATGCTAGTGAGGATGGCAATACCAGGGGGGATGCACTATTGCAAGGCTCAAAGGAAAGGAGTACTGAATTTTTCCATTCCTTTTTTGAAGGTACATTCCTGTTTGCATTTCTGGATGGATACAGTGCAGTCCTCCAAGCAGTCATCTGAGTCTGTCTATTCTGATATATGCCACTGACCCTACTCCACTGCATGAATCATCAAACCACCCTCAACATTCCTCTGGGGCTAGTCTGTCTTCCCAGTAGACTTTTATGAGACCACACTTCAAAAAAGTCCTGCACCTCCTAACTTCAGGCCAGCACCCATTCAATGACACCTCAGACCTGCCATGCCCTTATTTTCACATGAGGGTCTCTTCTCTTTGGTTGTATAAACTTGTGTAACCCAAAGGTGAAGGGGCATAACAGTGCCTGTGTCATCTAGAAAAGCATGTGCAATTGCCCAGAGCATTAAGTGAACAGGAAGATAAGAAGACAAACCAAATCAAAAACTAAAAAAAAATACCAAAACCCAAACCAAAAAGAAGCCAGTAATAACGATAATTCCTTTCCTCAAAAAAAAGCTGGGTAAAAGTAATTTTTCCATTCTGGGAAAGTCTGTGGTGCAAAAAATCCACTTTAAGAGTACCAAGACACTGCGGGTTTTCATGAAAAACACAGGAAATAAGTCCTACGTATCCAAAAGCCTGGGCATCAGAGTACGCCTGTTAGGAATGAAGAGTTTAACAGCACCAGCCTCTGGCCAACAAAAGGTTAATGCTGTAATCTGGAATCTAGAAGGAGGTTATGAAATAGCACAATGTACATGTCAAAGTAGAAGTTTATGGAGTCCACATGAAATGCCCCTGTCTGGAATACCCTGCCTTTGGAAATAAGCAAAGCAAGTAGGAAGTCTCTGCGTGCATGCAAATGTCTGTGTACATGATATGCATGTGTACATCATATGCATATGTACATGCATATATTTGTGCATATATAAGAGGATTAGCAATAAATAACTAAACTATGAGATTTTTCAGGGGAAGGAATTATTCAGTTAGCAAAATGCATGCTTAAGTGGCAATATTGTCATTTACTGGTTATTTATGACAGCTTAATCATTGCATGAATGGCTTTTAGGAATAAATGGGCAGGTATCCACCTGTCCAAGTCATTCATGATGTGTTAGGAAAGAAAACATACACACACATATACCCAGTACAGATTCTCTTTAGACTCCTGTGTCTGGCATATCTCCTGCTATCAGTCAAGCTATGTAGCCAGCTCATGTCAGTAGAGGCTGTCTCAGTTTATGCCCCTGGGGGCAGAAGCAACCAACTAAGTGTGAATAGCAGCTATCACAGAAAAGGCTGGGGACATGGGTGACCAAATTAAAATCTTCAGACTCGATCCTAAGGCTCCTGTAACCGCAAGGGGAGCTTGGTCCATCTGTATGCTGCCTCTCCTTTTGGGGTCATTTTCTCTCTTACGCTGAAACTCAAAGCCTTTCCAAGGGCGTCTTTCACAATGGATCAACTTATAATGCCACCCTGACATGCAAACCTGAACTGTCCCTGGTCATGCCTTCAGGACCACAGAGCTTCTTGCACTCCTTAGGTGTCCCCACCTAATCACGGTTGGAATGACACCAGCACGCCAACTTCCAAGGCCCTACTGGGTTGATGTAAGTGTGGCAAGGGCTTGCCAAGCGCAATCCCCCAGAAATCTGCGTAGTGACAAATCTGCACATGCTGGCAGATTCATCCGCTGCCAGTGGATACAGGCAAGGTCGGTGTCTGAGGGTCCTCCCAGCAACTTTACCCATCTGCAGTGCAGGCACTGCTACATGAGCTGCCTTTGCAGTCAGGGGGCACCTCTTAAAAATTCCAGCGCATCTTGAAATAGGAGTCCCACATGGGCTGGATAAAGCAAGTCCTTATTCTTACCCGAACGATGAAACAACCAAAAGTGACTGGCACAGATGAAGATTTCTAAAGTCGAGTGAGAGGAGTCCTTTCATGGGGGGCTGTACACACATAACCCAGGGAGGTGCAGACTTGGTGAGTCACTTGCTGGGAGGTCAGGTCCATCCGCAGTGCTCTTGCAAACCTGTGGCACCGAGCCCCAGTTACTGGAGCTGCGGAAAGGTGGGTTTAGAGGGAACCCAGGGCTATGTAGCGTGTACGTATGTGGTATAGAAACAGCATGACACGAAGACCTTGCACCTAAACACCCTGGAATCAGCTTTCTGGAGAGCTATTTGTTTCCACAGAGCTAGCCCTGGTTGCGTTGCATGAAGGATGGACTAGCAAGAGAGCTAAGCAAGTGACTCGCAATGAGTAATTTGTACTCATTGTTCTTCTGTAACTCTATGTTCTTCTGTCTGCAGAACCTTCTGCAAGTAGAGAGGATCATCCATTGTCACTGACTTGAAATTAGGACTTACACATTCAGTAGTGGAGATTTGGCTTCTGCAGAGTTCTGCACTGTTCACAAGCTGACCTAGGTGAGCCCAGTGCTTTTAGTCTTGGCCTGTGCAAACACTACTTCCCATGAGAAACAGGATCTCCTTATTTAAGTGCAACCAATGCAACACACTACAATGGACTTGAGGCATACAACAAAGTCTACCTGCAAGAATGTGTGATTAAAATGCAACACAGGAATAAACATGACCAAAGTAAATCCCCTTAAACAGTCAGGGATGTTTGCTTTCTGTTGTTTTTTTTTTTTACCAGGATCTCTACGGCACAGAAAGAAACTGAGTAGAGAGTTCTGGATGGAGAATTACCAATGTACTTCACCTACCCCTCCCACATCTCTCGGTTGCCTTTTCTCCTCCAAAGGACCTGAGATATAAAAGGCAGATGAGGCACTGAGGCATACATCTACATTCTGGTTGGCAGTTCCCCACGTATGCAACAGCAAGTGTCCCAGGGAAATTGCATAGGCTGCAGTCAGACATCAACACCCACTCAGCTGGCTGCAGCACAAGCTTCCCCAGCTCTTTTCTGGCAAGACTCCTGCAGTCACCCAGCTCTCCCAGCAAGTGTCCCCTGACCCAGTCCCTTCTTCTTTCCTCTTGTCTGATCATCCAATTTCACCACATCCCCCCCCCCCGGAGTACAGGTCCAGGATCCCACTGCTGCCAGGTGAGCATGTCAGCCCCAGGGAATGAGTGCTTCTCCATGCAGGGCTGAACCTGCCCACGATGCCCAGCCCCTCCACAGGCCACACCATGGGGCACACTGTGATCAAAATCCCACAAGGCAGGACGCCATGTAGCCTTCTCTGATTACCCTTGCATTTCATCTATCTGTGCTCCTCCAGGGACTCTCCTGAAGACAACCTCACATCACACGATGCAAGTGCTTGTTTTTCTGGGGCTTGTGCTTTTGGTGTCAAAGCTGCACAAAACTGCAGATCTGACAAGGGCTGTGCCAAAACCAGGAGAATGGTATGAGGGTGTAGGCCTGGCCAGGATGGAAAAAAACACCTACAAGGGGTTTAAGGAGGGATCTTGATGGTGCCATGGTCCCATGTTTATGTCCATACACCTCTGTTTGGCTGCCTGTGCCAGAGGAAGGGGGATACTGCCTTCTCTGGCCAGGCACACCATCATGAGGGGAAGCAGGGCACAGGGGTCTGGACAAGGTACCCACAGGTGATGTGCTGGGAAAGTGGAAACTGCCAGCCAAGATCCTGGAGCTGGGATAGCTCCAGCCCCTTGGCCACACCAACTCCCCTGCTAGCTACCCCTTCCTCCTTGCCTTCCCTGCAAGGAAAGGGCTTGTTGAGCTGGGATATGGACTGCTTCTTTCCTGAGCCCACGGTCACTCCTTGCACACACAGCTCGGTGCCTGGCTCCCCAGGTCTGCACAGACAGCCACCACCAGAAGGCAGGGAGCGGGAAACAGAGCTGAAATCCCACCCTAGCAGGATATTGATTATGCAATAATAAGCCCCTTTGTCTCCTTCAGCCCCAGGAAAATCTCTTAAGAGCATTAGCAAATGAATAATCCATGTCATCTACTCAGCATTTTGAGCACAAGCTCAAGCACAGTTATTGTGTCCCCAGGGTTTTGCTGATCCCATTCATTTCCCGGCACATATGACAAGACTTAACCACCACTGGCCCTGTGCTGAAGGCCATGCTTGCAGCATGTGCTCGGTCCACAGCTATTTAGCATCGGGACACATGCAGCAGTGGGGAGGGGGACAGGGCACTGCCTTTGGCTCTTCCCACTGTCCTCCAGCCACCATGGTGGAGGTGTCCTCCAGCCACCAGCAGTGGTAAGGCCAGCTCTTAAACCCAGCAGGAGTTATATGGGCACCAGTCTCATCTCAGCAGAGGAGCCAGTTCAGGGTTGGTCCCATGTGACCATATGGGTGCATCCTCAGTGCCCATAGGGTTGTCTGCACCCCAGCTCCTCACTGCCAGGAGATGGCTGTATTTGCAGCCAGGGCATGCCCCAAGGCCAGCTCCTTGGCTGTCAGGGTCACACTCGCACACAGCTCAGCCTGCCTCAGAGCTTACCTTCATTGCACAAACAGCAAAATCCCTGCAGTCAGAAGGGGAAGGGAAAACAACAGCAATATTCACAGAGCTGGGGAGGACCCTCCCTTCTTGGCCCACTCTCCAAGGGAAGCCAAGGAAATCTCACTGTTTAAGGATTACCCAGAGAAGAGAAGAAATTAAAGTAATTTCTGAGCAAGATTGTTCTGAGTTATGGGAGGTTGAAACAGATTTTCCTGGGAAAACAAGTAAATCCCCTGGAGAGAAGCCCAGAGAGGTACCAGCACAGCCAAAACCGAAAGGGAGTGTCTGAGAGGCAGACAGACAGAGAGAGAGAATTAAGGCATTCTCAGGTCCAAAGGCCCATGAAGGCGACAAAAAACGTCTCTGCAAGTGCAAGGAGGGCTGAAGCACTGCTGAGCTGCCTCTGGCTTTTCAAGAGGGGTAAAGGGAGCTCCCGGGGGTGCAAGGAGGGGAGAGGATAGCCTTAGGAGGGGATGCTCCAAGAACCACCACAAAGCACTGCTCATTATGCAGGCAGTGGACTGGCCATTGGCTTCAGCACAGAGGCACTGCCTGCTCCAAAGCATCTTGGTCTCAAGGGCTTGGGCAACGTAGGGCACCTTGCCTCTTCCTGGGTGCACACAGGGACTAGGCAGATAGGTGCAGGTAAGAGCAATCTACAGCCCAGGAGGCAAGAGGTGGTCGCTACCACAGCACCTCTATCTATAAGACATTATAAAACATCAGGGCCTGAAGAGACAAGCAGAGAGATGCTGGACAGAGGGAACCCCCAAGGAAAAAGAAAACAGATTGCGGTTCCCACGGTGGCAAAGCTGGCAGAGTTGCTGCTATGAAACCTTTTTGATTCCTATGGCTTTTATCCCACTCCACTGCTGTTTACAGAAAACCAGTCCTAGGCTCTGGCAGGAGGGAAGACGAGCATGAGAGGGTCTCAGCAGCGAGCATGAATGTGTATTTTGGCAGATAAGGGAGGAGGAGGGTGCCTAGTTTGAAGCTGCAGCAGCCGGGGAGATGGTGAAAGCCAGTCCCTGCAGGAGGGATCTGTAAAAGGTGAATTCCAAGCACTTGCTGCTTCTCACTCGCCTTCCCATGCCTGGTTTCCCTGCAGAGCTTCTCAGCCAAGCAGCCAGAGCAGGGCTGGCAGTGCCAGGAGAAGGGATGTGGGGTTTGTGCCGACACAGAGAAGAAGCAAGCCCTGGGGGAAAGGCAGCTGCTAGCTTTGCCACTCAAGGCTTAATGCCCTAAGAGCCCTGCTGACTCCTGCTCAGAATCAAAGGGGAAACTGCAGGCACTCTGGACGGCCGGGCACCCGATGATGCTGCATTTCCTCAAATCATGATGGGACAAAGGCTCAGAAAATGCATCGCCCTTTGCCTGCTGCCCTGGAGCTGCCTGGGCTTTGCCTGGAGTGATGCTGCTGGGCCCGGGACTGCCTCACCCAGGGAAGGACACGTCAGCAAGGGGCTGCCCCGAGACACTGCCAATGGGACCTACTTGCACAGCAACATCTCAGGTACTCGAGTGAGTGATTACCCATCTCTCCCTCTGCCAGGCTGCCTCACTGTGCAGGCAGACAGGGTGAAAGGCGGGGGATGCATTGATGATGGCATTGTGGTGCTTCTCCTGGTGGGCATGGAGGGAGGCACACTGAAGGGGCTGCAGGGCTTTGTGTGGTCCCCATGGCCACAGCAGCTTCTGTAGTCTGTGAGAGGTGTATCATGTCAGAGGAAAAGTCGCTGGGCACAGGGAGAAAATTTAACTCGACTGTCTTCCTTGGAGAGTAAATTCCTCCTCCATGTTAACCTCTATACAATATCATGATGGACCAGCTCCCTGCCCAGGGCATGGGCACACTGAACACATCCTTGTCCCCAAAAGATGAGCTGGGACCCCTGGGTAGAAATGAGGATGGACATTCTTTAGAAGCACAGATGATCTCCAAGTGCTTGGGGTGATTATTTTTTCTTAATCCACTTGCTAGAGCAGAGCCCACACTGCTTCCCAGCAAGTGGGACATGGCACTGGGGCTGCTGTGGAATGAGCACCTGCCCAGTGCAGGCAGAGGCACAGAGCAGCCCATGCCATACTACTGAACCCTTCACCTTCCTAAATCTTTATGAACTACATGTAATTTCCAAAATGCTTGTTGGGAACAGTCCCTGGACCACCCTATGTCTAAACAACAGCAAGGAATTGTTGGGCAAGGTGCTATCCAGTGTCAGACAGTTTAACTGTGCAACAAATCCAGTCCAGGCATCTGGGCAGCCTCCCTGGCACTGCTGAATTTACTCATATAGACATCTCCACTACCTGTTAACAGCATTGCTAACCTAGAGAAAGTCTGATCTTGCTCAACCTGGTCTGTTTCTTGTCAGCCCCTCTGGAAGAGAAGCCTACATTGACTCAACAAACACAGAGGCAGACCAAACCTCTCTCACACATTAGCTTTACTGTTGCACTCAGAATTTCCCTCAGAAGTTCCCTCTATGCTAGATAAAGCACATTTCTGCCTGCAAGTTCTAAGCTTATCTTAACTAGAGCTAATCAGAGTATTTTCCTTTAATTCAGGTTATTGGCACTGTGATACCTGTTACACGAGAATGTACTCACCCACATTTTCTTGGTATCTGTTAGTATATCCAGGGATTTTCTGCACGCACACAGTCAGATTGGCATCCCTTTTGGAGTCTGTCTCACCCCTGGCTCTTGACAGATACTAGGAGAAACAAACAGCACTAAAGATACAAAGGGTGCAATACAAAAAGGATGATCTAAGCAGGATAACTGAGTAGCTCTGAATAGCTGTGGGCAACAAATTAGGAAAAAAATAAAGGCTGGGATGGAAAAAGTATCTTCCTACAGCATAGAACAGTATTTCATTGCTTTGAGTTCCAGCCAACAATATTCTCCCAGAATACTGGGGTATTTAGAAATTGCCTGTCCTCTTCCTTTCCCTCCTAAGAGTTGCTCTCTGCACACTCTCCCCATCCTGTACCTTTCCAGTCCCACTTCTGTTCAGTAGCTGCTCACATTGCAGAGTTTGCAACTAGAAGACTTGTTTTTCAGATAAAGCCACCAGACTTCCCTACATCTTTCCTTTAGGATTACACACACACATAATAAATAAATTAGAGACTTGCAGGACCTGCAGGAGTGACACAGCGTACGGAAGCATTTTCAGGAGCATCACCAGCAGGGGCTTTGTCATCACCTGCACTTAACGTCCTCCCTTCTCCCCAGCACCATGCACAGCACTCCTCCCACCACGCTATGGGTTCTACTCCGTGGACAGAGGCTCGGGCGTCTCCCTGGGCTCGGTGCTCGTGTACTGGTGCCAGGATGGGTACCAGCTGGTGGGCAGCCAGAGGCTGTCCTGCCTCCGCCGGGACAGCGCTTCTTCCTGGAGCCACCCTCCGCCCCGCTGTCAGGGTAAGGAGCTGCTCACAGGGTCTCGGGGGGGGGGGCAGGTGATCATCACCCCATCACTAACGCTGGAGGGGAGGCACAGGACCTCACACAAGGGTGTCCTCGCTCTGGCCAAGCCAGTGAGGGCAGGGGGACAAGCTGGGGTGCTCCTGCCACCCTGAAGGGGACAGCAGAGGTCCAGCTTGTCCCGTTAAGCGGTTGTCAGCACAGGTGATGTGTTGTGATTCAGCTGGGTCCCTGCAGTAGCGCTTCATGAGCTAAGGGGTTGCCAAAGGGTGAATTCCCCAGGCAACAACAGCACAGCAAACGATCAGGCTTCCTCTCATTCCCAGTAACTGGTACAGGCAGCACTGAGCTGGTACCTGGTACAGGCAGCACTGAGCTGGTACCTGGTACCAGCTGATATCTGACTCCGGGTGCCAGGCATAGGGACTACAGGGCACAGGTACAATTTTCAATAGGAGGAAAGCTGGACTTTGAATTAACCCAGCACATTCTGTTTACGAAAGCACATGCAGAACAAATCTCGGTTGCAAATGGCCCTCACATTTGTTGTGGTACCAGCTCATTGAGAACAAACGGCTTAACATTGATGGAACAAAGCTTATTGCTTTAAAAGCTTTCTCTCACACACCACGTACTGTGTGTACACATTAAATAACTTCAGGAAAACTGCCCCCAAGAAAGGTATATATTTTTGCAGCACAAGCAAAAACACCTCAGTTGTAAATGCTACATAGTTTATGCGTGAATTGTATTGCTCATGCTGGGAATCAGACCTGGGACTCTTTCAGGAACAGCTGACAGGCAAACCTGTGGTGCAAGAGCTGGCTAAAAAGAGTTGGAAATGGAAAAAGTCTGCCTTTTGCTGCTTCTCTCTCACTTGCTCAAGAAATGTCATCTCTATCATTTGCTCAAAACATGCAAATCCATTTTAAACAGGTAGCATCTCAAAATTAGAAGCCAAAGTGCTTCAACCATAGGACATCCACACAGGTGCTTCAGCTCAGAAGCACTCCAGGCAGCTCCCCCTTTAAAGATGAGAACAGAAATAAAGCAATTCATCTCAATTCAGAGCTGTAAAACTTGCTGATATGCTATCAGTCACTGTCTGTCGCTCATAAAAGTAAGCATTGCAAAATAAAAGCAATGAACTTTGTTGCAATGAGTTACAGATGCTTCTGCAGTAAAACACTGCTAATGCTCAGCAGCAGTATTTGCCTTCTCAGCCCTAAACAGAGGCTGCAGTTTGTGCACTACTGAATGCAGAAACAACTTGGGGGAACCAAAAAACCCTCCAAACGTTAAATCACACCCTGGGTTCCCCAGAATAGAAGGCTTTTAAGACAGCTTTAAGGGGAAAATCCCTATATGCTTTTTCTCCTTAAAACAAAAAGCAAATCTCCGTAGTTTCAGATGTCTTAGTTTGGTTATTTTGCAAGGATTGTAAGGCTGGGGATTGTTCATGGATTTTTTTTACTTTGAAAACCAAAACATGCAATTTTTGCAGACATTAGTGAACTGTTTCATATTATTTTGCTCTTGGGATGGGAGCCACTTTCTTAGTTTAGACATTGGCAATGCAAACACCATTTAGGCTTCCTTTATGGTTTGATCAGGATGTAATTCATCTGCTCCTTCCAACACTGGTCTTACGGCAGCTACGGGTCACACACTTGGATGGCCCATACACCATCCAAGAAAATTCTGGCACAGGCTGCCCAGAGAAGCTGTGGCTGCCTCATCCCTGGAAGTGTTCAAGGCCAGGTTGGACGGGGCTTGGGGCAACCTGGTCTAGTGGAAGGTTTCCCCTGTGGCAGGGAGTGGGAACTGGATGAACTTCTAGATCCCTTCCAACCCAAACATTTCTATGATTCTATGATTACACTCACCAAAGTTTCCAATTTATCATTTTTTTTTAAACTTCACAAGCCCATTTTTCTCTTAAATACTCATGTTTCCTTAATACTTTTCCCCCTTTTTCCCCCTCTTTCCACTTTTGTTCCCTTTTAACTTTTTGCTTCTTTTTTTTTTTCACTTTTCTTCACTTTTCCACTCCCCCCCCTTTTCCACTCTTTTTACTCTTTTCCCCACTTTTCCCCCTTTCCCACTGTTATTCCCCTTTTTCTCCTTTTCCCCCTTTTCCACTTCTCCCCTTTTTTCCCCTTTCCCACACTCTTCCCCTTCTCCATTTTATTTCTCTTTTTCAACTTTTTCCCTATCCCAATCCCCATGCAACAGACATCCAAAAATACACATTCCATTAAAAAAAACAACCAACAGCAAGGCTACCACCATTTCCTTTTCATCGTGCTTCATTCCTCCTCCGTTTGCGCTTCACCCAAGCTGCATCCAGCATTTCACATTTTCCCTCCGATGTGACTATTTCACCTCAATTACCCGAAGAAAATATTAACTCTTAATGTGATTTTGGGGATCCCCGTCCCCACACACACACTCACTTCTGTGTTTATGGAGCTGTCTTTACATGCTTCTTCCTAAAAACAATGCCCTGAAGTGTAATTATAAGGGGGAGCAGGGCCGGTGCGGTTGGATGCACAATGCCTGCTTCGGCCCTGCTCCCATGGGCCCATCCTGATCTCTCCCCGCAGCCACCCCGAAGCCCCCAGGCACTGGCTCCCGCGCTGCGGTGGCCGCATCGCTGCTCAGTGGAGCTGTTATCCTGGTGCTGTCCATCTCCTTCGCCGTCTGCTGCTGGCGCGACAGGGCGAGGAGGAGGTGTGCGGGGTGAGTACGGAGGCAGGGCAACGGGGGGGGGTCACATCCAAAACCAGACGCAGTTTGGCACAGTCATGGCTCCAAAGCAATGGCGCGTTTGGCGCTGATGGGGAAGATGGGTCTTGGGAGGGATAGTGGCCCCAGGGATGAGGGATGTGGTGGGTGATTGCAGAGAGGCGTCCTGCAAGGGATGCCGTTAGCTTGGTGGTTGACAAAAAGCTCTCCAGAACAGAGGAAGGGAACAGACAGAAAGGATAGTGAGTGGGAACAGCCCTGCCACGTTGTGTGTACAACCCAAGGTAGGCAGATGCTGTGTACAGTTCTGGTGTCCTCACCATAAAAAGCACATGGAACTGTTGGAACAAGTCCAGAGAAGGGCCACGAGGATGATCAAGGGACTGGAGCACCTCCTGTATGAAGACAGGCTGAGGAAGTTGGGGCTGTTCAGCCTGGAGAAGAGAAGGCTGCGTGGAGACCTCATAGCAGCCTTCCAGTATCCAAAGGGGGCCTATAGGGATGCTAGGGAGGGACTCTTCATTAGGGACTGTAGTGATAGGACAAGGGGTAACGGGTTCAAACTTAAACAGGGGAAGTTTAGATTGGATATAAGGAGGAAGTTCTTTACTGTGAGGGTGGTGAGGCACGGGAAAGGGTTGCCCAGGGAAGTTGTGAATGCTCCATCCCTGGTGGTGTTCAAGGCCAGGTTGGACAGAGCCTTGGGTGACATGGTTTAGTGTGAGGTGTCCCTGCCCATGGCAGAGGGGTTGGAACCTGATGATCTTTAGGTCCTTTCCAACCCTAACTATTCTATGATTCTAAAAAAGGAGCATCCTCCCCTGGTAAGCACTGGGAGAGAAGCAGGTGGGGAGCAGGGCCACCAGTCAGGACCATTCTTACAGAGCAGCAGCACTGCCCTGCTTTCCCATCCTAAGGTCCAGGGGGACCCCTTGTTTTTGCCAATGATGGTGTCCTGAACAAGTGATGGCAGCAAAAGTTACCATGCAGGAGCCTACCTGGGGATGTGGCTTTAACTGAGAGCCTAGCTCCTTACTATAAGTGCAAAAGAACAATGAGTAAAAAACCCTGCAAGAGACGATGTCTCAATCTCCCAGCAAGCACCAGCCAGACCTCCCCCCACTGTCCTGCTCTTCCCCAGTCTGCACCAGTACCCCTTTTTTGCAGGGCTGAAACAGTTTTGGTGCTTTCCTCTGGGAGCAGAGGAAAGAGGTCAAAATCATGGGATAACAACTTGGGTTTAGGATGCAAACATGCCAAATCTGTCTGGAGGTGTAAATGAAAACAACCGGCCCCCAGTGAGCAAAGAAAGCATCTGCATCTCTCTCTCTCTACCTTGCAGGCAGCAGCAGCAAAGGAGGAAAGCCAGAGGAGGATGGAGACATGACCACTCCACTCCTGACAGGACAAGGAAGGCTTTTGGGAGACTGAAACACTATCACCGGTGCGATTACCACCTTTCAGCCCTTTCCAGCTCTGTGTTCCCAGGGGCGCTGGCAGGCTGCAATAACCTGGCTTTCCAAAGGTACCGCTCAGACCCTGGTGCTGGTACTGCCCCCCAGTTCCTCACACAGGGGCCAAGGGCTGCTCCCAGTCTCCCTGGAGGCAGGAGAGGCCAGATGTAAAAGCCCACATCGCTTGGGCAGTCACTCACTCCCCTGCCTTACCCTCTTATGTGCTCCCCACCTAGCGCCTAACAGCAATGAAACCCTTGCATATGCTCTTTTCAAGGGGGCAGTTGAACCAGAGGACCACAGTTCCCCTTTGCCCTGCCTCAGCATCGCCTGGGTGGGCTGCGGGCTCCCTGCAATGCTGCAGCCCCCTTTCACCTCTCCCTCTTGCCTTTGCCAGCAGCCCTGAAAGCCTGTTGAAGCTGCCCCTGCAGAGCTGGCACCCCACAGCGCAGGTCCTGCCCCGGCTGGTGTCACCCAGCAGCGCCCTGCCCAGCCAGCCGCACCACAGCATCCTGCCGCACATCCTGCCCAGCCAGTCCCACGGGCCCAGGGACCTGCTGCCCCTCTACCACAGAAGCCTTGAGGAACACCAGCTCTTCAACAAGTTCGGGAGGCCGGTTTAAAAATTTAAACTGCTGTTTGACCTTTTTTTCGGTTTCCTTTTTTCTTTTAACACCATAGATTCCTTGGAACTCTGCAGAGCTCAGGGAAAAATCTCGTAAGAGCCAGTTCCTGCACCTGGATTTTCAAATGGACAAAATTTGATGTGTTATGTTGAAAGGCTTTTTTGATATAATCCCACCTGTCCAGAAATGCACATCTCAAACAAGAGTGCCTGGGACAAGCTTCTTAATTCATCATTAAGATGTGAGATGTATAAAGCCAAGCCTGAGCAGCTCCAGCTTAACCAGGCTGAGCATGTGCGGACTTTCAGGTTTTAAACACAAGGGCCTGATTTTCTGTTTCCTGCTCTTTCAAAGGCTGGAAGTGAAGACAGCCAGTTACCAGCAACAAGGAATCTATGTCATTGCATAATTGGAAGCATTTACAATTCACTGCACTTGAATGTAGGCTGAGATTTAAAAGTGGGGAATTTTTGCTGTTCAGAACTCACCATATCCTCCTATTTCTACAGAGACAGTCTTAGACTTGCAGGAGGCAGTGACAAGTGTGCAAAGAGAGCCAGTCAAGATGAAAAAACAAATTTATCTGGAAGCTGTGGCTGCCCCATCCCTGGCAGTGTTCAAGGCCAGGCTGGACAGGGCTTTGAGCAACCTGGTCTAGTGCAAGCTGTCCCTGCCTGTCCATGGCAGGGGGTTAGAACTGGATGAGCTTTAAGGTCCATTCCAACCCAAACCGTTCTGCGATTTCTATGACCCAGCACATCTGAAGGGGGAAAAAAAAAAATTAAAACCAAAACAAAGACAAAAGCCCCAAAACAACCAAAACCCAACCAAACAAAAAAACAAGCACCAAAACTTGAAGGTTTTCATCCCTTCTCCCCTGCAACAGAAATTCACATCAGGTGTATTAGACCTACAGCAGCACCCAAAGTGCTAGCCTAAATGCCATCATTGCATTTAGAAAGCAATGACACTCATTTCTGTCCAGGATTTCCTGGGTGGAAATAGAGGAGCACGCTCCAGGCAGCACATGCAGAGCCTGGCCAAGGAGCTTCAGGACAGCTCGGCTGCCATTTGCACCACAGGACAGACCTCTGCCTGTGTACCACAACTGACACAGTGTGGGCACATGGGACTTGTCGAGTAACACAGCATCATGTGTGCACAGAGATGCTGTGCAGGTATTACACTGTTAGAAGAGGTGCCAGCATCCCCAGGAGCTGCTGCGTATATGGGGCAGCGAATGAGAACGAGCACCCAGGATGTGAACCCCAGCATCACCTGCCATCCGCTGCTCAAGAATGCAAACTGCGATACTCAAACCTGCTACAGAGGCGAGGAGTTTGTCTGCCAACTACATTTCTATCCACATTTGAATCATGTTTCAAGGAAAAAAAAACTTAGAAGACACAAGGTAGTACATTCTTGTGATAAGGCAAAACTTACTAGTGGACATGTGGTAACCACTGCCACTTCTCCCTGGAAAAAAGGCTAGAGACATTGTTTTTTCTATTTCTAATAATAATAAAGGAAGCTTTCCCCCATTCCACCTCCTATGCCTTTTTTTCACATCAGCAATCTATGGGAAGTCTGGTCTGGGGGCTGGGTTTCAAGGGGAGGGAGCAGATGGCAAAGCTTTTACAGATTCCTAGCAAAAGACAGCGATGCCCACAGCAGCCATTTACCAGCAACAGCACCACGAGAAGGAAAAACCTTGCCATTCTCCTAAGACAACTGAAGTCGTAGAAAGGACAGGAAAACCAGGACCTGCTCTGCACTTCCCTTCAGCTCACGTCCTAACCTTACCTTTCTGTCCTCCCTCTTTTTCCAGCCAAGTCTAACACACAGGGAGGGGAATAATCCTGCTTCAAGGTAAGATGTTCTTTGGTCCCCTCCCATCTGCCCAGACAACCTGTGGGAATGGTGCTCTGCATGCAGAGATGCCAGCCATGGATTCGGACACAAGCCCTATGGGCGTTCTGTGCTCTCACGAGTACCATACCCACAGACCACTGTACCACTTCTGTCTCACCAAAACAGGTTTCATGGCCAGGAATTCAGCCCAGGATTGGCCCTGGGAATAGCACTGCCCAATGTCTTGTTCACGTAGGAAGAAGCTGTCTTTTGTCCAAGAGACAAAATCAGGGAAAAAACAAAGGGAAAGTGATGAAGACAGGAATGACACTTTTCCTTCTCTGTTTCTCTCCCTTGTCATGCTTTAAGGAATAAATAAAACCTCGCTATGATTTCCCCTCTTTCCAAGGAGATTTTTTATTGAAAAAAAAAACAAAAAACAACACAACACATCTGGGACACAGAATTAGAGTGACGCTTTAGAACCAAAAGTGGGATTTTTTGTTTTTGCTACATGAGATGAGGCTGACACCTGCTCTCACTGCAAACTGAAACAACACACACTTTAAACACAAAAATCTTTGCCAAACATGTCCAGAAAGGTGCTGATTTTGAAATACCATAACAAAAAGTGACCATGTTCCATAAAACACCTGATACCACAGCTTTACACACAGTGTCAGCTGTCAACTCGAAACAAGCATTTCATACAACCGATACTTAAAAAAAATATTTACTTGACAAATTTGAGAAGTTTCCTTGCTGCAACATTCTCCTGACTTCTTGGGGATTATTTTTGGATGCAAACTTTAGCTTCCTACCACAAAAACCTGATGCCAAAACCTTGTCAGACATAGCCACGTTCTTCAGCAGGGAGAAGCACAGCCAGGTCTTCCTCGAAAGTCATCTCAAGCTTGCAGGAGGCTGAAACCAACAGCAGAAATGTGGGTTAAGGGCAGGAAGCCCAACTCTACCACAGTTTCCCTATGTCACCCTTAGTTCCTTCTCCTCTTGGACCAGCCTGTCAAAGAGCAGAGTGAAGGTTTTGAAGAGCCACACTCAGCTTCAGCCTGGGAAGGCACCATTAGGAAAGCACCAAGCAGCACTGTTTATCTGCCAAAGAGGAAGGAGAAGGAAGGTAACCATGTAGAAGCTGCAAGTAATCTGTAAACAGGAAGAAAACAACCTCACAAGCTTATATCCCACATATTCTATGTTACTCAGCGATTCCTGTTAAGAGCCACCATCTACTCAACTGTTTTTCATCAGAGCAGTACATGAGGTGCTGCTCTCGCCACCGGTTCCCCCCCTGCAGACCACCAGAGAAACTCACCTTCTCTAGGATAGGGAAGGGGGTTTCCAGCTGTCTCAGAGGCTGGCTTCCCTAGAGGGAAGCTGAAGCTCCAAGAAGTTTAGTTGTAATGTTTTATACAAAACCAAATGCAATATCCAATTATGCAACACATCACATATCGCATTTCTACTTATTTAAATTGTATACCAGTCAGGTAACTTGTTCACTCACTCCCAGTGAGTGGTGCCGAGCTGACAACAATCGAGGTCTGTGTCCGTCTCCCCCTCCCACCCCGCACCGGGGCTCTCCCCTTCCCCACTCCCGGAGGAACGGGGAGGAGGATCGAGAGAGTGCAACTCCTACGGGTTGAGACAAGAACAGTCCAGCAACAAATCACCACCGCTACTATCAGCTATAACAATGATAAGGGAAAATAACAAGGGAAGAGAATACGATACCACCGGCCAAGAAAACGAGTTCCACCCGGAAGCCCGTGTCCTTCCGGGTAACTCCCAGTTACCCCCCACCCCGGGCATGACGTGCTGTGGTATGGAATACCTCCCCGGCCAGCCCGGGTCAGGCGCCCCGTCTCTGCCTCCTCACAGCTTCCCCTCCTCCCTGGCAGAGCATGAGCCTCACAGAGTCCTTGGTCAGGGTAAACATCACTTAGCAACAACCGAAAACATCGGCTTCACCAACACTGTTCTCAAGCTAGAAGTCAAAACACAGCACTGCACCAGTTAACACAAAGGAAAAAACATGACTGCTACTGCTGAACCCAGGACAACCCAACAGAAAGGTAGGCTCTAAAACCAGAGGAAACCATTTAAAGAGGGACAGAGATAGCTGCAAGGTCAGCTCATTGCAGATTCTGTTCCAGGCAAGCCTTACAATCAGTCACTTTCTGCTCAGCATCTGAGCAAAGAGAAAGCACTCTCAGTTCTTCATAAAAAAAAAAACAGGATTTGGGGATTTTAAACTTCAGACTCCACACAGGAAACCTCACTGAGCCCCGCAAACTCAACCAGAAAGAGCTGAGCAAGTTCTGGTGACAGCTTTACATTCTTCACTGAAGTTTAACATAGCACCCTCCTAGGACTGTGCGCACTAACAGAAGAGGTTTCAGACCCACTCTACAGATATGGACAAGGTTAAGGCCAAGACTTGTAACATTCAAATGCTAAAGCCATGAAACTCCAAAAAGATATTAACTGCAAACTTGAAAAGAACAGCCACCCACCATGGCTTTCTAGACTACCATTTTGAGTGCCGCTGTGCTGGTAGAAAGAAGAGAGCAAGCAAGTTCCAGTCTCTCCCCAGGTATCTCTGGAATGGAGGAGGTATTTGGCAAATTTGTAAGTCTGAGGACTGGGGGAGATAAAGAGCAGTCTAGCAGGATCCACAGGAGAAAGCAACAGTAAATGTGCCATGATTGTATCCCACTGAAACACTCCACCTCAAATGAGCTGCAGTAGATGGGCTCCTCATGACTGCCACAGGTCAGGCAGATCACTATTCCATCAGCTTTAGATTAACAACAATCTTTCTATACTGATTTTCTGATACAACCAACCTCTGTTCAAATTACTTCCACACCTAGTCTCAGTGCATCAGACCACCCTAAACACGTGGTTTTCATCAACAAAGCTGGTAACACATCTGTTGCTGCCACAATCACCCAACTCACCTCAGACCTTCACAGTGCAGCAGTTCAGGCTCCTGCATCCCTGCAAGTCACCCTAGCTCCCTGTACTTATGTGGCAGGAACTGCATTTGACCATTTCTACCTCAGGAGCCTTCACTTTACCACATAAAGCAGTAAGCTAAGGGCAAAGGCAAACCCCAGAAGGATAGGGAGATGAAGATCCTGC